ATAGATAGATAGATAGATAGAGAGAGAGAAAGAGAGAGCGAGAGAATATAGAGAGAATAGAGAAGGAGAGGAGCGAAGGGACCAAACATGTTGGCGACTGTACAACTGTTCACTGCGGTTGGCATCATGCTCTCTTATGGACGACACCCGCACGCAGCCTCCTGGTGGACCAAATCTATACACACATTGCAAGGGTAAGCAACTCACATCTTCAGAGAAATCGGATTCTCTAGAGCTCTTTAAGAATTGACGCTCCTACCTCGCCTGTATGCTTTCCTCCTACGTGTGTATAAAAGGCAAGCTCCAAGTTAATTACCATCGATTTCACGTTGGAATATTTCCCGGTAGCGTTTATGATATTTTCTTTCTATGCGCCGATATCCTTATGGAGAAGTCTCTCGCTTTATTATATGATTCTTAGGTTCCATTAATATTATCTGCATTAAACTGGGGATCTTGTGGATAGTGCATCTAACCAATGGTGGCATACGCAATAAATTGAGTATGAGAGTGTAACTAAGGCTGTCTTCTGCGCTGCTTAACACCCACTATAACATTAGTTTCGCCCCAGTAACCGCATCTTCTTATTACAATAATGGTTAAATACGTGCAGGGCTATTTGCCGCAAGAATAAGAGTTGACGAACACCTGCATGTGAGCAACATTNGAGAGAGAGAGAGAGAGAGCGAGAGAGAGCGAGGCGCGCCAGGAAAGAGCACGGAGAGAGGGCGACCAGCGAGGAAAGAGAGAGAGGGAGAGAGTGAGAGAGAGAGAGAGAGAAAGAGAGAGCGAAAGAGAAAGAGAGAGCGGAGCGAGCGCAGCGAGCGAGAGAGAGCGAGAGAGAGAGAGAGAGCGAGAGAGAGAGAGAGAGAGAGAGAGAGAGAGAGAGAGAGAGCAGAGAGAGAGAAGAGAGCAGGAGATAGGCGAGCGAGAAAGAGAGAGAAAGAGAGAGAATAGAGGAAGCAGAGATGGAGACCGAGAGATACGAGCAGAGCAGGAGTAGAGAGAGAGAGAGAGAGAGAGAGAGAGAGAGATGAGAGAGAGAGTGCAAGCGAGAGAACTAGGGAAAGTGAGTGAGAGAGAGAGAGAGAGAGAGAGAGAGAGAGAGCGAGATAGACTAAGGAAGTGATGAGAGAGAGAGGAGAGGAGAGAGCAGGAGCGAGAAAGACGAAGGCGCAGAAAGATAGAGAAAGAGAGCGAGCGAAAGATAGCGATAGATAAATAGATAGAGTAGATGATAGATAAGATAACTAGATAGACTAGGTGATAGATAAGAGAGAGAAAGAGCAGAAGAGAGAAAGAGAGCGAGAGAATATAGAGAGAATATGAGAAGGAGCGGGAGCGAAGGGATCGCAAACATGTTGCGACTGTACAAGCTGTTCACGATGGCGTTGGCATGCATGCTCCTTTATGTGACACTACTCGCGCACTGCGTGCGTTCCTTTGTGTACCCAAATCTAATACCACACAATTGCACGAGGGTAACAACTCACATCTTAGAGAAATCGGATTCTCTAGAGCTCATTAAGAATTGCGCTCCTACCTCGCCTGTATGCTTTCTCTCCTACGTGTGTATAAAAGGAGCTCCAAGTTAATTACCCATCGATTTCACGTTGGAATATTTCCGGGTAGCGTTATGATATTCTTTTATGGGCCGCCGATAATCCTTATGGAGAAGTCTCATCGCTTTCTTATATTATTTTAGGATTCCATTAATTTATATCTTCATTAACTGGGGACTTTGGATAGTTGCATCTAACCAATGGTGGCATCGCAATAAACTTGAGTATGAGAGTGTAACTACGGCTGTCTGTCTGCGCTGCTTTTACACCCTATAACATTAGTTTACGCCCAGTAACCGCATCTTCTTATTCCAATAGGTTAAAGTACGTGGCAGGGCTAATTTGCCGCAGAGAATAAAGAGTTGACGAACACCTCGCACTGTTAGCAACTTAGCCGGCAACGTGCTATAGCTCGTTACACGAGACCTCGTATTTATGAATCGGTATTGCGAAATACCGATCTGAGACAAATACGGCGCGAGCGTTCACGCGCTGATTCGCAGGCTCCATGAAATACGGTATTATGCGAGCTGCGAGCTGCTTTAAAACAATCAAGCGACAATGCAAAATAAACAATGCTAATGCGCACGCAACTGCGATACCATACGTAGACTGGTCCCGAGCTCGACAGTTCCCTCGCGTGTCACTGGAACTGTCGAGCGGGACCAGTCTATAAAATACGCGCTCCAGAAATCGTATTTAGCGTTCACAGGAAGGAAATGCGCGTCCAAGAAATCTGTTTTCTCAAGCCGGAACCTTATTCGGGGTCTGGAAAGCCTCGTATTAGTCATAAAATACCCGATCTGTTTAGATACGTATTTCATTGCTCGATATTTTGCCAATCGTGTGAACGCTAAATACCGGATTCTTCACGTGTAAACCGCTGCTATATCGTGTATAACCTAGTATCGTCTGATCATCGCATATAGATCCAAGAGTTACATAAATAGAATTAATAATTTCTATAATAAAAGAGATATAATCTCCGCTATTAGTAGCTGCTTGATATAATATAATAGTTGATCGACGCCGTCTTGTAAAGCGACATTACGATAGCTAGGCTTCTAATAATTTCGTATAAGCGCATAGCATTACTGACAGTGATTTAGGCATCGAAAGGATTTATTAGATTGAAGCGGCCTCTCCCACAATTCATCATCTCTGAAGCAGCGTACCGGACTCTGACGCAGTTTCGATATATGCCACATTTGCCCGTGCGTGTGAATCGTGTATGTGCAGGACCTTATATTTTGGCTATGTCGAACGAGAGCGATTCTAGTCGCAGGGAGCAAGCGGTCCGCCGGTCAAAGTCCGCTTATCTTAACGCGATGGTTAAGATCAGATCGGGCATGAGTTCGATATGCACGACGTTGCGGTCCGCTGGTTTACCAAAATTTGCCGATACGAACGCGCTGGCGCAATCACGCAGATTCAAACTAATCGCTTCCTGTGTGTATTCGGCGAATTGTCGTCGTTGCCGCGTCAGTCGCACTACGGAAGAGTCATAAACTTGACGGTGTGTACCACACAGTCAGCGAGGCAACAGTAAACCGATTGTCCAATGAGTCAACTCATCATCATCATTATAGCGGGCCGTGAAATGTAAACGCGCTCACGCAGGCGTATATTAATATTTACTGCTATTATTTTGATAACATTTTTCTTATTAAATTTGCAGTAATGTGTAAAAGAAGTACATATCAAGGTGAGCGTGAATACTATATTCGCCCTATTGCTTAGTACTATTATCAGGGGGTACTCCCCCGCTTATTGTTCCCTTGATTTACTCATCGCGCTTCACCGTCCTATCTAGTATTTGCGCGTCTGGTTGCTGTTGGTCACAGACGATGTGTGATTACTTTCCATCTGTACCCCGGCGCTTCCCTTGATACCTCTTGCTCATCCACACCGAGAACTACAACAAACATAACAACATGAACAACATAACAACAACAAACATAACAACATCAACAGCGTAAACAATAACAACAACAACAACAAACATAACAACAGGAACAACAATAACAACAACAACAATAACAACAACAACAAACATAACAACAGAAACAACAATAACAACAACAAACATAATAAAATAAACAACAATAACAACAACAACAAACATAACAACAGGAACAACAATAACAACAACAACAAACATAACAACAGGAACAACAATAACAACAACAACAACAACAACAACAACAATGGCGACGACGATGGCATGGAAACAGCAAACAGCAGCAGTGACAACGATGCCGACAACGGCGAAGACAACAACATCAACAGTAACATCACCACCACCATCATCATCATCATCATCATCATCATCATCATCTGAAACAACAACAGCAACAACAAAAGAAAGACCACCACCAACAAAAACAGAAAAGCTCGGTAGTGAAATTGCATATATCATATGCGCCCCTCTCCCTCTTATTCCCGTGTATATAAACTATTACTGCGATTTCAAATAGGTTAAAATGAGAATCAGGAAAATATTTACATAATCCAAGTCAACAGCAATAACAACAACAGCAGCAGAAGCAACAACAACAGCAACAGAACAGCAACATGAAACCCAACAAAAACAAAACAAATAACAACAACAATTGATGGCAGCACCAGAAACATCAAATGTAACATACCAGCAACAGCGTGTTTATACATCCGATATTTATAGTCTTGTTGAATGTAAGGTGAGACGCCATACTAACGAACAACGCGTGTATGCCTGAGAGAAATTAAAGTAACACTATAGCGACCCCTCTGGGAATTTGCACAACATTAGCTTTTACCGTTCTGGGAATAATACATGAGGCCGAGTACACTTACAATCCTGGGTAGATTTTAGGTTGCAATAATTTTCCATTTGTAAACTTTCCGCTGCGGCGGGTTATTGTGAATTACATGGCTTCATATTCCGCATCATTTTGTTAGGCAGCCGACAACTAAATGCACTGAGTGAATCTCAGATGCGGGTAAATTGATATCGATAGGCTCACAATGCATCCTCTAGCAGCATTTTTATGTTTTGCTTCGGTATTAGTGTCTTTGTGTCCTACTCTGGCACTAGTAAGATAATTCTGCTACATACAAAAACTGCCAATAGCGCAAAGTTATCTTCGCATATAATCTAATAGTTGGTAACGACGCGTCTGTAACGACATTACCTAGCTAGCTTCTCATAATTTTGTCACGCGCCATAGCTTACTGACAGTGATTCCAGCATCGAAAGGATTTATTAAGATCGCAGCGCGCCTCTCCCCACGAATTCTCATCTCTGAAGCACGTACCGGACTCTGGACGCAGTTTCGATTATAAATTATAGCCACAATTGCCTGTACTCTTACAATACTCTGGCATTAGTAAGATATTTCTGCTATTTACAAAAACTGCTAATGGAGCAAAGCTATGTTATTCTCATACAAATCGATCACGCGGCATATTTTCTGTTATATTGTTCACGTGATTATTACCCAAATAGATCAATATTGTTATACGCTGATATTAATTTATTATTCGACAGTAGCTTATAAGAACTTTCGCTTTATTATGCTTCGATTATCACTGATTTAACATACGATATCGGGTATTGCTAAGGAATTATTTTATTACAGGCCCAACGTGTGCGGCTTTGAAGAGATGCGTGCGAATCCACAGACGAGATTCTTCACGGAATGTAGGTCTGGTTCTAATAACCACGTATGCGGAAAACCAACGTAAGCTATTATTAGTAGTAGTATTATTGTTATCATGATTAATATTAGTAGTATTAACCGGATTTTTGGCTCATTTTTGGTATGTGAATGAATAAGAAATGAGTCTAGGGGTTTGTATTTAAACATTATGCAATTTAGGTAGGGTTTTGGATTATATAGCATATTTATTGTAGACACGCAGATAACACGTCTGTGGTGTTCAACTCGTTTGGTTTGTTTTACATAGATTTCAGTTGAACTATTTTAATTGCAAAATTCCTGCTATGAACAAATTATGATTTTACTATTATTATTATATTATTTATTATTATGATATAATGTATTTTTGCTAATGGAACTCAAGCGGGTATGCGCTTACGTTCACAAATTTGGATTTCATTTTTTTGTTTTTATAAATTATTTTTATATTTATATATTATATTATTTATTATTTTCACATAAACAGTACACATTATTATCAGGTATTATGGGAGTTCTCCATATATACTCTTCGTTTCTTATGTACGTGATGGTTGTTCATTTAAATGACTTCTTCTCACTCACTCATTTTGTGTTCCTTTTTTGTGTGTGAGCTCGTGTCATTTGACACTTTCATTTAATTTGCGTAGCTTGATTAAATGTAAATTACATAGTGCTATGTAGTACGTATGGACTGCTTGAGCAATAGCCTTTACGCAGAAGCCGACGCAAGTAAGTGCGTAATAGAGAAATTGCGCGCAAAATAGAAGAAAGCTACTGTTGATGCCCGTTTAAGATGCGGATTCATGGGGTAGCTTTGAAACGTCACACTTTGAATTTGAAATATGGTTGCGCCTTCATTTGCAGCGCACTTTTATAATTCCTTTTATATCATAAAGAATATCTTAAACTGTTGGCAAATGCGCGGCGCGTATGTATGCCCGCGAACGTGCACATGACAATTTTATTGATTCAGTACGGATCCGGAAATTAGGTGAAGAGTCTTGGTAAATACGAGTATGAGCGTTTGAGGGTTTTTGGAGCGATCCCGCATTTTATTTTTCTAAAATTACCAGTTGAAATTTGATGGCTTCGGTGCCGTATGATATTTTAATAAGATGATTTTTCTTTGACACTGCTGCGGGAAATCAGGGGCTCTTACTTCACAAAGGTGGTTCGACCTCAAACCTATCCAGGATCTGCAATTTAGCACGTATTTATATTATGTACTCAGCCGATTTCATATGCTTCTGTATGCTGGAAACATTTACCGGAAACATCGAACAATCAAATTGTAAAACTGCCCTGTGAGTCCATAATTTATCGCGCTGATCGTTAGCTTAGCGTTGGCACCTTACGCGTCTATATCACTACCGTCGATCAATACTCAATGTGAGACGGAATAATGTATTTTTATCTATCCATACCTCCTGCTTATTTGGACTGTGGGTCTCTCTGTATCCGAGCGTCGATAGTTGTCGCTAAATGATTAATTGTCCGATAGTCTTATGCTTAAGTCGCCTGACTTCTTCGTTGTGGGTTTATTGTCTCTTTTAGACACTTGTCGTGTGCTCGTGTTGCTGTGCTCTACCAAAGGCTGTCGGTTGTGTGACTGATTGTTCCAACATTGGGACGCAAGCGAGTATGAGTAGTTTGTCTTTATTCGCAAACCTTTTTATTTTTACCTGAAGTTATTAATCAATATCTTTACAGGCAAACATGAATACAAACGAAATTTGTCCACCTAGCCTTATCTTGTTCGTCAGAAAGACATGCCGCGCATTAGACCAGCTCGTTTCGCACAACTTTTGCGGTGCTTATGCGAATTAATCAGAGTTTTCCCGCGCGTGTACGTGATCATGTGTCCGGCAAGACTAATCGCGCAGCGATTTGCAGGTTCTCTATATAATATAGGAAGCCCTTTGATGTGAGCGCGGTTTATCCAGGAGGCAGGGTCGAACTCTGTCGCATGATTGCGCACGCAGAGATACGCAGATGCAAGACCCTCGCGGACTTCTCCCTATACTTACGTACACGCTGCTTATGGTGTGCCCCTCATGTTTACATACGTCATTAAATGCTTCGGCATGCATTCGCTAATAATTGTCGAACTAGTGTATAATTTGTTTACGTTGTTAATGGCTTACGTTACAGTGTGTTCTACACGCATGCAATCACGCACGTACAACGTCATCTATTACGATAATGCTCATTACACGCGCAGCTTTTCTACTCACTCTTTTTTCTCTCTTCGCACACCACACACCACACACCAGCACACACACACACACACCCCACCACACACACAGCACGCATAAGGCTGCTGCGCGTGGTCGCGCACGCCACAACGGTTAATACACTCACATGCACACGCATGTTACGTACACGCACACGCGTTACAGGCACTACACGCACTGCAACGTACAAATGCAGGGCACAGGCGTGTACGTTTTATGAATAGAGATTAGTTTATTTATCAACATGGTGCAAAACCTTTTTTTACTGTGTGATTCTGTTGAAATCTTCATTCTACCACTAAGCGTTCAGGCAGGATTTTGATACTTTTACGGGTGATTAAAAAATTCAACGATGTCATCAAAACGACTATCACTCGTTGGTATCGCTGATGGGCGGTATTTGAGTAATTGTTTATGAAAGGGAATGTTAAGTGTCAGGTGAATCTTAACATGGTATTAAATCCGCTGGTCTATAATACGTGAATTAAGAAATAACCGGCACCGTATTATCGTTCTATAGTCTCACTTTATTTTAACCAATAGTATTGAAAGTAGGTATATCTGAACATTTACCGATTCGGGGGAGGTGGCCGGATCGGGCTCACTAGACCGTCCGAATCTATACCAAGAAACTTGCAAACAATACGCTAAGATTCTATTTTTGAGTATTTAACGCATCCATTTTAACTTTGGGCTGAAATTGCCGAAAACCTATTACTACACACAATGACAACAACGGACCCAATTCAATAACTAGCATTCATGCATTACAACAACAACAACAACAAAATCACACAACAACTACACACAAAACAACAACAACACAACACAACACACAACAACACGACACCACTTTCAACTCAACTACGCATGCTAATTAACAACACAACAACAACAACAACACAAAACAACAAAAAACTACAACACAACACAAGCACCATATATACTCTACTTACTATTATACTACTACTGACTACTGCTATCCTACTACTACTACTCTCTGCTACTACTTCGCTACTCTATTTCTTTATGCTATACTGATGCCTACTTACTACTACACTACTACTACTTACTACTACTACTTACTACTACTACTACTATACTACTACTACTACACGTACCACTTATTACTACTATATATTACTATACTACTACTACTACTACTACTACTACTACGTACTACACACTGCCATACTATTATACTACTTATACTACTACTACTACTACTACTACTCACTACTTATTACTTACTATACTAGGGCTACTACTACTACCACACTACTATACTACTACTATATACGACTTCTACTACTACTTCTACTTACTACTTACTACTAGTACATTACTACTACTACTATATACTACTTACTAACTACTCTCTACTTTACTACTATTACTACTACTACTACTACTAACTATCTACTACATACTACTCTATCTACTACTATACTTATATATACTCTACTGCTCTACTACTTTACTGCTACACTACTACTCTATACTATATACTACGTACTAATACTACTGCTACTAACGATATATACCCTTACCCTATTACTCTGGTACTAGTATCGTACTGCTTACCTTTCTACATGCTGGAGAATGAAATGCAATGGCATGGCTGTACGATGACCACAGGATGGGCATCTGCAGGGCAGTTGCGCGCGGGAGATTTACTTCGGACATTAGCTTTTCGAGCGCAAGATTTCACGCCTCCGCTGCCTTGCGGAAAATAACGGGTCACCTGTTCGAGCGGCGCAGCGGGCGGTACGCGGCCGTCATGGCTGCGGCACTAGTGAGGAAGGTCAGTAGCCAACGGAAGCAATCGCGATCGACCACGGGGTACTTGACAGGCCCTTGCTGCATGAACAAAGTGCTAGAAATCTATCCACGAGATGCGGCGAGGAGAGGAGGATGAGGAGAGGATAGATGGCAGAGAGGAGAGAATGAGGGAGAGCGTATGAGAGGAGAGACGGACGCGCGCAGGAGAGCAGGAGAGGGGATGCGGCGATCGCGAGGAGGAGAGACAAGCGAGCAGGAGAGGAGACGGTGAGGAGAGGTGGAGAGAGAGAGAGATGAGAAAGAGAGGCGAAAAAGAGAAAGGAGAGCGGCGACGCCGAAAAGCGCGAGCGAGGAGAGAGGAGCAGAGAAGGGAAGAGATCCCAACGCTCTGCGTACGCTAGCGGGGAGGAGATGAGGCGAGAGAGGGACCTGCGAGCGAGCGAGGAAGGGGTAGAGAGCGAAGAGGAGAGAGATGACGAGCGAGGGGGGAAAGAGATAGAGGGAGAGGAGAGAGAAGGGGGAAAGGAGAGACGACGAGAGCGAGGAGTAGGTATCAGAGCGAGAAAAGAGAGAAGAGAAGAGGAGAGAGAGAGAAAGAGAGATAAGTGAGAGAGATGAGAGGGAGAGGGAGAGAGAGAGGAGAGGGAGAGAGAGAGAGAGAGAGAGAGAGCAAGCGAGAGACTAGGGGAACGTGAGTGGAGAGAGAGGCAGAGAGAGAGAGAGACGAGAGAGAGAGGAGAGAGAGACTAATGGGAAAGTGAGTGAGCGAGAGAGAGAGAGCAGAGAGGAGGAAGCGAGAAGAGGGCGACAGAAGAGAGAGGAGAGAGCTGAGCGAAGATAGATAGATATGATTTTAGATGATAGATAGATAGATAGATTAGATAGATTGATAGATAGGAGAAAAGAGAGAGGAGAAGAGAGCGAAGAGATATAGAGAGAATAGAGAAGGAGAGGAGCGAAGGGACCAAACATGTTGGCGGCTGCTACAACTGTTCACTGCGGTTGGCATCATGCTCTCTTATG